TCTCCATGTGACTCTCCTTGGGCACACTCTACATCATCGATCACTTTCCTCTTTGGCTCCATAATGTCCTTGATCAGAAAACTTGGGACACTAGTGAGATACATGTAGTTACAGTACAAGTTCTCATATGTCCTGAGTATTAATTGACCTTGGAAGGCTAGGGCCAAAATGTTGGCTTTCCTTGTGACCCTCCTTTTTGTCTAATTTTGGTCTGCAAACTTACGTTGTTAACCATCCAGAAGACAAGCTTATTGTTATTACCATACAATCTAGGCTGTTAAGCTTAACCTCACTGTCTGTCTGAATATCAAACATCTTAGGCATAACATGGAACAGGTATTTTTTCATCAAGTATTGATATGTTGAACTTTAAGTCCTTACAAGAATTATATAATTCTTTATGTTTCCATGTAAGTCCCCAAATCTAACCATGTACAACCTTGAAGCAGGACAGACCCACAACATTCCTTTTCCTATCGCCTGCCTTCATTCACCACTGCCTTCTTTTTGAACAGTCATCTACCCGAGAGACAGCTCAGCAGCACCTGGCATGTCATGACAAACAGCCCATATTTACAAGACCAGAATGACAGGCACTCCAAGCCTGAACCTACTATTACAAATTGCCATCTTCAGTGCAGTTGCTAAGTTCACAGGTGTCAGTATATATAGTTAGTCAGGGTGAGAATCTTTGATAGGTTAATTTGAGGCTTTTGTTGGTAAGAAAAAAAATACAACTAGCGACCATATTTATAAGTGAAATCAAATAGACCTTCATGTGAGAACATCATAGTATCTCTCTAGAATGAGAACCTGAAAAAGAGTAAATAAAATCTGAAAGGTGCAATAGATATTGTGAAAGGGAAAAAAAACTGCTCAAAGGGAAAGAATGACTGGGACAGGGGAAAGGAAAAAGAAAGAAGAAAGGGAAAAACATATACACACAAGATAGATAAGATAATTGTACTATTAATTTCCATCAGTTTGCTGAAATGAACATTTAATGCCTAATTGCTTGATCAATTTTGCATGCCTATATCTAGTAATCTGAGCAACTACTTTGAAGGTAACAATATGCAATAAAACAACCATTGTTATTTCCTATCATCTTGTTTGAAATTCTGTATCATTTTTATTGGATTATACTCTGTTTAGAATTAAATAAGTGATGAAAATCCTTTGTATATGTCCAGAGACTTGTACTTATCATTTGCTATCAAGTATAGCTAATATAGGAATTTTTATTTTAAAAAGAGAAAAAAAAAATAAAAATGATACAGAATTTCAATACAAGATGACAGGAAATTAACCATAGTTTTACTGCATATTGTTATCTTCAAAGTATTTGCTCATATTCCAATATATGAACATATAACACTGATCAAACAACATAAGCACTAATTGTGCCATTCAGTGAACTAATAGAAATTAGTATTACAATTATCTTAGCTACCTTGTGTGGAGGATTTTAAGTGTGTTGACTTGGCATTTTAGAAACCTCATATGGTTTATCTCAATGTGCAGAATGATGGAGAGTCATGGAGACGTTCTAAATGCAAACAAGATAATGGCAATGAGAACCAGTGGATGAAAACTGCATTTGAGATATGTCTTAGTGATACTGAATCTTCGTTTTATGTCTAAACCTTGTTGAAAACACATATTCGCTTTGATATCCACAGACAAGCTTGTGTCACTACACCCAGATATGCCACGTACAGAAAGCTAATAACCCGAGTGAACACAGTGTATGTCATGAACAGGAGATAAGATTATTAATATCAACTAAAATGGAGACGGATAAAGGGACTTAGAAAAAGAGGAAGGGAGGCTGAAAGGGAAGGGGATCAAAAAAAAAAAAACTAACCACGTTATGTACATGTACCTACTCCCCAGTGTGAAAGCAAGTTTCATGTGCTGTAAGCATGTTCAAATAATGAATAATATATGTTCAAAATACATATTAGAAGAGCTGAGACTGGGCATAGTGGTGCGTGCCTGTTTCCCAGCACTTGGGATGCTGTAAACAGGAGGATCACTACGAGTCTGATCTACACAGTGAGACCCTGTAACCCTGACCTAAAATACAAAAAAATAAAAAATAAAAAATAAAGAAGAGCTACATTTTCTTATAAAGAATCAGAGAAACACTTTATAATAGAAAATATGAAACAGTACAAGCAGAGTTTAAAATCACTTCTTAGTAATCTACTAGAACTTGTGGATGTCTTATAAATTGCATGTTTATTTTATAACAAAAATGAAAGAAAACTGAAAGTTTTTCTTTTCTACCCATTCCCAGCGTCAACACTTCATAGCGTGAATACTTCACTATCTCCTGTTGACAGCTTCCTCATTTCTCCTAAATTCAATTCATCTTGTTCATGGTCCCTGCACACTGTACTTAAAATTTGAAGGTGTCTATTTACATATTCAATTGGATTTCTGTGTTTCTCAATTTTGAACTTTTCAATTTTTTAGATAGTTCAATACCTACTTCATTCATTTTATTCAAAGTTGTCACTCAATATTGGCCAAATGATATAGCGTATTCCTATAAGAATATCTTATATAGTTGCTATAGGCTCTGCAACTTTTGCTTTTCTTGATAGTATAGAGATTAAATATTTCAGGAGGAAACTTAGTAAATGCTGATAGAATAAAATATATCTATATTCTGTAGATATTTTATCCATCCTTCAAGTGCTGACTTTGATCTAACTATTCCGTCATAGGGCTGACAAGATAGCTCAGCATACCAACTGACTGCTTAGGCAAGTGCAGGGACCAGGGTTCAATACAGCACTCCATGCCATGCAAACCCTGCCGCTGGATGCAGTGGGCCTGCCTCTGGGATGGGACATGGCGGTGCACGCCTGTAATCCCAGCCTAGGGAGGCTGAAAACAGGACGATCACTATGAGCTCTTTAAAAAAAAAAAAAAAAGGAACCACCTCTAACTATTCCATCACATGTGAGATTTATTTCATCTCCTTTGAAAAACATCAATTAAACATCTATAAATTATATCATTTTGCTATTTCCCATATTCTGTTTAAGCTTCATTTCCAGTTCTATTATAAATTCTGCCATAGAATTGTACTTGCTCTTCCTGCTCCAGCCACCCACTAGATAATGGGCACCAAGGCACTGAGCACATTGCAGATGCCATGGGTGCTGATTCACTGACAATGTTTATACAGTACATTACTATCTCACACATTTGTTCAGCAGCTTCCCCAAGACCTTCTCACGGATTTGTCTAGTCTTTACACAGTACACAATGGGGTTCATCAGGGGTGGAAACAATAAAAACATATCTGCTATAAGGACTGTAACAAGCGGGTTTTTATGCTTAGCAAAGCGATGGATGGCAGCGAGGGTGATGATAGGCACATAGAAGATGAGCACAGCACAGATGTGGGAGACACAGGTATTTAGGGCCTTCAGCCTCTCTGTCAGAGATGCAATGTGGAGTACAGTCTTCAAGATCAGCACGTAAGACACAGCAATCAGTGCCAAGTCCAGCATAGTACAGAGAGCAACAAAGAAGCCATAGATAAAATTGATCTTGTTGTCAGAGCAAGACAGTTTCATGATATCCTGATGAAGACAGTATGAGTGAGAAAGAAGATTCTTTTGACAATATATTAATCTGCTTAGAGTAAAAGGGAATGGAAGCACTAAAATGATGCTCCTAAAGGCTAAGATTAGTCCCACTTTAGCAACTCTTTTGTTAGTGAGGATAGAACTATATCTTAGGGGATTGTGTATGGCAAGAAAGCGATCCAAAGACATAATTAGAAGTACAGAGGATTCCATGACAGTAAATCCATGGATGAAAAATTCTTGAGCAAAACAGGCATTGGGTGAAATCCACAAGGCACTGAACAAGAAGATCCTCAGCATGGTAGGAAGAGAGGAGAGAGACAAGCCCATATCAGAGACAGCCAACATGGCAAGGAGATAATACATGGGCTCATGGAGTGAGGGCTCTGTCTTTATGATAAAGAGGATGATGCAGTTGCCCATGAAAGCAATGAGGTACATGAGACAGATGGGGATAGAAATCCAAACATGGGCATAGTCCAGTCCTGGGATTCCAATCAGAAGGAAGAGCTTGACCTCTGAGTTGTTAACAACAGGCATGAAGAATGGTGACACAAGCTCCCGAGCCAGATCTGAAATCACATCAAAAAAGAAAGTTATATATTTGGATAAATTACAGTTTTATGATAGGAAATTCTTTCATATATCATGTGCATAATAATATTGACATATCAATTAACTGCAGTCTTCCAAACATATCTAGCAAAGGCAGATTCCTTGGCAATACACTGGAGTTCCCCTCTGTCTCTTTCAGACAGCTTTCTTTTCCTCACTAAGAACATTCTGCTTTTTTTTTTTTTAAGTGTGTCATATGTTGTTAAATATGTTCTTATTCTCCAACTTAATTATTTTCTTCTCACAATTTATCCTAAATTGGTGGGGTTTTACATTTTTGATAAAATAAATAAAACATATTAAAGTAAATTATTTTTCATGGAATCAGTAGAAATACTCTGAGCATTTTTTCTTTCTTTTTTTTTTTTTTTTTGTATTTTAGGGAAGGGTCTAGAGGGTATTCAGGGTCTTGCTACTAGATCATACTTGTAGTGATCTGCCTGTTTACAGCCTCCCAAGAGCTGGGATTACAGGTGCGTACACCATGGCCATTCTCAATTGCTGTCTCAGAGAGCGCCGGGGGCAGGGCCGGCATGGCAAGCCCAGGGATCAAACCACCATTCCCTGTGCCTGCTTGCAGGTGTTTTAATCTGCTGAGCTATTTGGCTGGCTCTTCAGAACATTTTTTCCCAGGCAATCTTATTTGCCATAAAATTACTGATTTTCAAGTGTGAAAATTTCAAATAATAGTCTCACATAATTATCACTGAAAATACTAGATAAACATTAAGTATTAGAAGGTAAATTCATAGACTAATTTATTCTAAGTTTAAGAGGAAGTAAGTAGTTATTATGCCCACATCACAAAATAATAAGCACATGCATTCTATCAAGAATTGTATAGAAGTGAACAGAACATTTGTGTACATACTTGCTACTTCTTCAATTGGTTTCAAGTTATGTAACTCATCTGACCATCAGTTTTAATGTGTAAAATGAATGCGAATTCAGTAGAATTTGATGTTCATGCATGTTTATAAAGTATCAAACAGATCTAAGTATAGCCGAGTGTGGTGGCTCACGTCTGTCATCCCAGCACTCAAGAGACTGAGGCAAGAGGATCTTTGAAAGTTTGAGAACAGCCTGGGCTACAAAATGAGTTCAAGGCCAGCCTGAACTGCATAGTGAGGCTCTGTCTCAAAAAAAAAAGACCTAAGTATATCAAATTATAAACAAATATCTATAAATATTTATATTGATTACATAATAGTTTCTAACAATGTATGAGAGCAATAAGACAGTGAATATACTCTTTTGAGTCTGGTATCCTTATTTCTTCATGTATCTAGCTCCACCAGCATCAATGTGGTATTACCTGGTGTAAGCACTAATGGGTCTCACTTGAGGTTATTGTATTATTTCACAGTACAGCTAGAAGCTGTAGTGTGATGTGCATATTCACCTTATCCATTCAGATGGGATTGTTTTATTTCTTATCACTATGACCACCTTGTTATTAAAATTCTGAACTTAAAAAATCCAAACCACTAAATTTCCTTTGAAATGTCAATGCTAAAATTCCACCTACATAATAATTTAAACAAGATTTTACGTATAAGATTTCTATTTTTGAAAGTTCACTATTTGCATTTTCAGAGATAAAACATATGTTCTAGGAATTTCTAGCTGTGTTTTTAGATTTAAACATGGCCCAATGTGGAATAAACAGCATAAATTATCAGAAATACAAATATCTAATAACAAAAAATTCCACCCATACAAAGTATACTTTTGTAATAAGCTCATGAATAAGTAATAATTATCAAATGCATAATTTCAATTTTTTGAAAAAGCAAAAGCTTAAAACACAAATATCTGTGGAAGACTAGAACTATTAGGACAGACTAACCTCTTTCTGGAAGTTTTTATCTTCAAGTTGCAGCCAAAAAGAAAAAAATCACATCACTTTCATAAGAAATATAGAACATACTTGAAATGAATTTAATTCTTCTCAATTGAAATTTGAATTGAATTAATATTATATATTGTAATTTACTGAAAGATAAGTATGAAAAGAATTATAAATGAACAGCACCCATAAACTAATACATTTTACTTTTCTAAATAATACTAATTGTAAAGAACTAGACAACCTATAAACAGAGTTACATCTGCTAAATTGAAAAAAAAAATGAAATAGTTGGATGATTCATATGAATAAGATTTACATCTTATTAATTTCTCAACATCTTATTCCAAACTTGGGACAACTATATTTTGAAGGTGATTTTGCTAGTTAATCTGCAGATCATACCATCTACCCTATACACATATTCACCCAAATACACACACAAACACACATTCGCACACACACACACACACACACCGCAAAGTCATTTTATCTTCTAAATTATAGTTATTTATTAAGATACAGGTTGTATAACAAAACTTTAAGTTTAAGCTTCAAAAGGAATTTTTAGCCCCTTGCACTTACACAAACCAGATGCTCAAGGTCCTCAAAGAAAAGACTTCTACTTTATATAAATATATCTACTTCAGTTTTCCTTCAACTATAGACCTCTGAGAATTAAAAACAAAACAAAACAAAACACCTTCATCTGGGAACTCCCAGTACATTTATGTGGAAAAGATATGGCTTAAGACATTAACTCTTTGGTGTTCAGATTCCCCTGGGAGTTAAGAGATAAGTTATGAGGAAATAACAAGCAGTAGAATTCATGAAAAAATTTGATCTGACACTCATATAGGTTAGGAAATATAGTTAAAACAACAAGCTAAATGCATCAAAACATTTTAGGTTAAATTGCAACCTGTAGAATTTGACTTTTCTTTACCCCAGTTTAATCATTTGAATAATGGAGACAATAATATTTCAGCATCACATATTCATGAAAGCTCTTTATAACCTATAAAATTGTTTACCAGTCACTTATATATGTTATATAAAAATATCACATATATTTTTCTAATCTAGTTTATGCAAGTATTTTTGGATGAACATTGAAATAAACATTATTTTTTATTAGAAGATGGAGTGGAGGCATCAAAAAATCTGAAATTAATTAACAACCTACTCAAAATAAAGATGTACTCTTAGTAAGCTAAATATGAAGAAGTTCCTCACTTTGACAAAAAATTCTAAAATATCTATACCGACCATCATATTTGATGATGGAAATGCAAAACTTCTCACTGATATCAGACACAGGAAAGGATGTGTTGTACCTCCAAATAAAGGAAAATAAGAAGCATGCAGGTTGAGAACAAAAAATAAAATTGCTGTTGTTTTCAGATGGCATGATTGTCTATGGTCTATGTAGAAAACCAAGAAGAATAAACAGGCTCCTACAACTAATAATGGGTTATAGCAAGGTTTTATCTTACAAGGTATACAAATATACAATATACAAAAACAATTATTTTCTTATATCAGCAATGAACAAGTGAAATGTAAAATTTAAACATTACATCATTTACATTGTTCCCTCAGAATTTATATGATTTATGTATAAACCAACCAAAATATGCACAAGATTTATATAAAGAAAACCATAAAGCTGATAAAGTGAAAAAAAAACAGAGATTTTCATATTGAAGGATAAGAAGATTCAGTGTTTTTAAGATGTCAGTTATTCCTAGCTTCATCAATATATTTCAGTGGAATCCAAATCAAAATCTCAGGAAGTGTTTTGAGAATACAAAAAAAAAAAAAAAAAAAAGAAAAGAAAAGAAAGAAAAAGAATCTAATGTTTAAATGGAGAAACCAAAACCTCAGAATAACCAATGCAATTCTGAATAGCAAAGAAAAATTTGCAAAATTGATACTTTTAAAATTCAGATTTACTATAGGTCTTCACTAACCATGACAGCTTGATATTGGCTAAAGAATAAAGTAGACCAAAGACAGTATTAGGTCAGTGTAAACATAGCTATTTGATCTTTACCAAAGGATCAAAGACAAAGTGATTGAGAATGAAGTTCTTCAATAAGTGATGCCATGACAATTGTTCATCCACATGCTAAACAAATAAAAGGCAGAATAACACTAGGCATAGATATTGCACTTTTCACAAAAGTTAAAGAAGAATCACAAAATAAATGTAAAACATAAAACTAAAAATAACCGTAGAAGATAGCATATATGAAACTCTTGGTTATTCAAAATTTAATGATGAATTCTCAGATATAACATCAAAACACAGTCCAAGAAAGAAAAGTAAGTTGGACGACATTAAGATATGATTTCTCCCTTGTGAAAATCACAATCAGAAAGCATGTTCCAAACTGTTTCACAGTTTTTGTTTCCAACCTCTGAGCCTTGCTGTTGAAAGTTTATTATATTCACTGGTCATACAAAAAATGCAAATTAAAACACTGAGATACTATCTCACACCAGAAAAAAATGGTTATCATAAAGAAATCAACTAATAACAAATGCTGGAGAGACTGTGAGGAAAAAAATACTGTTCTCCACTGTATGTAGAAATGTAGACTGGTACAACCACTATGAAAATCAGTGTGGAGACTCCTAAAAAAAACTAGGACTCTAAGTCCCACTCAACCCAGCTATTCCTCTTCCAGGTATTTTTCCAAAAAAACTGAAAACATCATACCACAGTGATATATGTGCACCCATGTTTATAGCAGCACAATTTATCATAGCCAAATTGTGGAAATAACCTAAATTTCCATCACCTAATGAATAGATAAAAAAGATGTGGTATTTTTAGATGTTGAAGTATTACTCATCTACAAAGTCAAACAAACTTGGGGCCTTTATAGGTAAATAATGCAACTAGAGGCTATAATCATAAGGGAAATAAATCAGACACCGCATGTGTAAATTAACATATTGTTTCAGTACTGCAATATCCTGAAAGAATAAATAAAATCTGAAAGGTATGATAGATACAGTAAAACAGAAAGAGGATGGCCGAAAACAGGAGGATCAGTATGAGCCCAAT